AGAATGTGCAAAAGAACAGAATGTTTCAAATGGAGCTACGCCCGAGGAGACTGGGATGAAGGAACCAATTATTGTCAAGAAAAAACGAGGTCGTCCGCGTAAATCAGCCGTAATAGCTGACACCACGAATACATCGCTTTCAGAGAGTGCGAATCCGTTGGACTCTTCCGCAGATTGCAGCATGCCACCGGTGGCTGCATCCACGCCGGACGCCAAGCGTCGCGGCCGCAAGACCAAAGATATTCCAACAGCAGACAATGAGAATATCTCTGAATCCTGCCGGCAGACAAACGATTTTTACCATCGTCTGCTGCTCACACGCAGCCGTCAGCAATTGGTCAGCGGGGAGGAGCTGCGCGAGGATAACGCTGGCGAGGGCGAACTACAATGTGGCTTGTGCCTTGTGCGCTGCGAGAAGGCTGACTGGCGGTCGCATCTCGGCGAGCATTACGGCGTCGGCTGGCTTATTGAAGAACCAGCTCCGGTGTGTATTATTTTTTAATTGAATAGAATGAATTATTTATTAACAATAGGAATTTCTTTCAGTTGCTCACGCGCAGCTTTGTATTGAAAATGATGAAAACCTATTTGGATGCGGGCAGCAAGCGTTTGAACTGTCGTCTGTGTCGTCGTAGTCTGACCTCCGCCCTGGGCATGATGTTGCACCTGGAGGGCTGTGGCATCAAGGAGCGCACGGTGTGCGAAAACTGCAAAGGTAGCTATACCAAGCTATCCTATCCGTCTCACGTTCGCACCTGCCCCAAGCGACGGCGGACGCTAACCGAGGAGGATCAGGCAGCGCAAGCAGCAGCAGATGCAGAAATAGAAAATAGCGCTCCAGTTTACAGTAATGCGGGTCGAACTAAACGCAAGTCCACGCTGAAGTAAGCTAAGCATACTTAAAAGATATCTGAAAAGAAATAATCATATGTTAAATGAATCTCTATAGAGCCGAAACAAAGCTGGAGAAGATTGCAGCGCAGACAAAAGAACTCGGCGTCGATGAAACGGAAAACCCTAAAGGTTTTGATGGAGATGCATCTGATTACGATTTGGGCGCACAAAAAGATTCATCCGACGAAGTCGAATCGGATGGTGCGGATTCCAGTCAAACCGATGGAGGTCCTGCTAGATCGTCTACCAAAAAAGAACACAAACCAGCCCAAAAGACTTGTGAGTTAGTTAAATATGCAAATTAATGAAAAGTTAGTTAAATATAAATTCCAATTCAACTTGCAGTATACGGACGTATAAACGTTAAAAAAGTGATGAAGAATCGCTGGAACCATTTGTAAGTCTTAAATCTTAAAACGTTTCGACATTTTTGTCCACTTAATAAATTGTTGCCATGTCCGTCTGTCCGTATAAGACATAATATATGCACAGCTTAAGGCACAATTTCCTTTTCTCGCCGTAATCAAATTCTATATCAACTTTTGTGATTATTTTGAATACCTTTGATTAGATAGTTGCGAGCTTTAGGGAAGGTTAATTTAACACCTGAGTGCAGCGTGTTTGCTGCCAGACAAGGTTTTTGTTTATAGGGCAAGAATTTAATAATAATAAATTTATGTGGGCATTTTTATGCATTTGATTTAATCTTGTAAAATTTTCATTTTAATAGCACCGAAACAAATTATGCCAAAGGCATTTTATATCCGCATCTTGTGCCCCGCTATGAGAAGCTTTCAGCTGCCGATGCAAGGCAGTTGCTGCCTTCGAAGGATTCCACATCCATGCGCTATGCCTATGACAAAGTGGATGATGATGGCTGGATGCAGTTGAAGCCCATGGAGGGCGTCAGTAAAGAGCGTAAGTAACAAACAATGTTGTTATCATTAAATAATTTAATTAATTTTAATTCCATTACAGACGAATATATATTGTATCTGGGCAACGCTGTTAAGGAGCTGGCGTGGGTGCCATTGCCTTCGACGGTTGAGACGCAGTATTTGTTGTGCTCGCAGCGCAACAAGGTGCTCGGCTATTCCCGTCAATTCAAGGACAAACCGGAGAATGCCTTGCTATTACTGATTGAATGCAAAACGCCGCCAGCTGGCGACGATAGCGCGTGGACACTGCAGACGCGACTGCATTATGGCATATGTGTGCCAGATGGACCTGTGCATAGCCTGGCATTTATGGCCAGCGGTGGCTACGATGAGTCTATTAACCGATTGGCTCTTCTGGCCGTGGGAGGTTTGACGGGCGCAGTCATTTACGCGCTGCCCTTGCATGTAAATAACGACACCGAACAGGCTGATAGAAAGGAAATAGATGATGTTATTGTACTGCAGCCGATGCTTAAGCTTATCTTGGACATAGATAATCCTTTGCAGGATGCGTGCACTAAAATATGCTGGTCTGAGGTGAGTAATCTTAACGCTACTCAAAACTAAATATGATAATCTAATCGATGTGTGTTACATTTATTTAATTTGTCTGGTTAATATTAAGAGCTCTGGTCATAATTTGCTTGTAAGTGGCTATGCCAGCGGTAATGTTGCCTTTTATGATATCTCCGATGAGCAGGGACTCAATTGCGTTGAGCGAAATAATCAACGACATTTTCTACCCGCACATTTCTTTTATTTCGGCGAGCGAAACATATATAGTAAGTACTTGTGAAACTGCAGTATATATTCTTGCCTTACGTACTCCCTATGCTATATAAAGATTTGGAGCTGCATTATGACACGAACGGAGCACGTTGGCTAGCCATAGGCACCAATATGCGCAAACTGTGGGTCTATGACATAGCCAACTGGTCGCAGCCGTTGCCAATTTCGGGCGATACCGTATGCAATATGTTTATGGGCGGCCTCAACTGGTCTCCTTTGTGGGAGGCATTGGCCGTTGGTTGCACCGAGGTGTATAAGTCGCGTAAGTTCTCGCAAAGTTTTCCGTGCTTGCATCCATCTATATACTAAACATTTCTGGTTCGATCTTTAGAATTTCCGCGCTTGCTTGCGCTAAATCCATCGGGCATTTCTTTTAGCCATTCGACGCTGGATGTGGTGTTGAGCAGTCCACGTGGAATGCATTTTAATTGGGAACAGTTGACATTGGTTGCCATAACGGATAACGGCGATGTCGCCTTTTTACAATGTAATCAATTCAATCTGGAAATGATGCTACAAAAGCGAACCACAAATTGTCGCACTGTTTGCTCAACGGAGCCGTGCCTGCTGAGCGATGCTCCAGAGTCGAACACAATTAGCCCGGAACAGTTTAAGCGAGACTATGGACTGATCCTGAAGCCACTCAAAAATGTGCCCAATGACAAGAAGTCAACGTACATTAACCTAAAGCGACGACCCAGCTTTGATTTGTTGAACCTAATGCGCTTGAATAGTGTACGTTGGAATTGGAATGAGCCCGCACGAAACTGGGTAGTCGTTGGTGCGGAGCACGGTTTGCTTCGCATCATTAAATTTGAGGAAGGGAAACACTTTCGTTTTTTTTAATAAACACGTTATTGAGATTTTAATTTTAATAAATAATTATGTTAATTGCTTTTTAAGAAGATCCGGCTTATGAAGTTTGACGCTCTTGAAGATTTTTTGAATAACTTGTAATAATTTATTAATAGCTGTTATGATAATAGGCATAATAATGTATATATAAAGCTATATTTATATGTATATTTAAAATGATATCATGTAATTGCATTACTGAAAGTATGTAATATATATATTTAAATAATGAACTATATTCATTACATTTATAAATGCGAATATAAATCATAAATGTTGAGAAATGTTTTCTTTGATTTAAGCATGTAGTTCATTTTCTTTAAATGGTGAATGGAAAACAATACGAATGGAAAAATCAAAAATCAATTTATAGACCAAAATGGAAAAAAGGAACAAACGCTTCAAGCTTGGCATCGCATCAGCTTTGAGAAAATAGTATTCGATTGAAAAGTAATACTAAGGAATCGACACACTCTGGCTATTTCAAAATTGCAATAAATACATTAAATTTTTATTATAATCCTCAAAAAAAAAACATCTCGAGGAAGCTATAACTATGGATATAGGTCAAGAAAACGTTTTTAAGGTTGAGCTACGCACGTTGGATGATTATCATCGACGCCTGGCCCATTTGCTGGAGCGGATGGAGCGCCTGGAAGCCTCCTTGAAATCGCTACCGTTGGCCAGTCGTCTATGTAAGATGGATGCCGTGGAGGAGAAGATGCTTGACGATAATGCTCAGGAAAATGAACAGCACAAAGAAAATATTGAAGATGTACAGTCGGAGATGTAATTAAACAACGAGAAGGGCAGATAAATGTGACGAAAAAAAAATGGAATCAATTGATATTTCATCTCGCTGGCAAATCGTGACTGATATGGTATTAAAAACGAGATACTTTTATTTACAACATACATATATATTTAATATAACTCTCACTACTCTTTATCTGCATCATATACATATGGTACTCGATATACAAATATATATACACATATATATATATATATTTATAATTTACATCAATATTTTCAAAATGGATGCAGATACATTAACAATGATATATAACGCCTTAACGTTTGAGCTTTGATAAGCAGCGATCGCGATTTAATAATTTTTAGTTAATTTGCGATTCGAAATGTTTGATATTAAATAATGTATATAAAAATCATATTAAAAATGAATTAAAAAACCGTTTAGTAAATAAATATGTTGGCAAAATGCGTGGCTTAAAACTAAACAGGCTAAAAAAAAAAACTGAATGTTTCGAATAACACACAGACAATCTAAATAATACATAATAAATATGCACATGCCCAGAATTATAGAATTTGTTGCGTGTGCATATATATATATATATATATATATATGTATTTTATTATTGATATCTATTGTCTTTTCTATGGCCACTTGAAGGTAGCAGTTAACACAAATTGCGATAGTTTTATGGCGTGTGGCCTAGTTTAAAGAGAGCCCTTACATATCTGCCTATTATCTGCCTGTAATGCAGTTGACCTTCAGTCTTCATTCTTCGAACTTTTCCATGTCTTTATCTCTGTCACTTGCTTTCTTTATATCTGTTTTCGATTTTTGTAGCTGTGCCATTAAATTCTAACAAATTCATCAATTGGAAACGGAACTCGACTTTTCACTTAACATAAAGTTAAATTTAAATAAAATATTTTTTAAAAAATCATACAAATTAACAGAGCTCAGTTTACTTCTCGACACCATTCGCTGCCTCCACCTGGGACTTGTTTCGATTGCCCGCCAACTCCTGTTGAATCTCGTTCAGACTCTTGCCCTTCGTCTCGGGCACGGCCAAGAAGACGAAAATGACGCCAACTAGAGTAACGCCAGCGAATAGCCAGAAGGTGCCGCCGTTGCCCAAGCCGTCGTTTAGATTCTTAAATGTTTTCGTTACGACAAAGGCCAGCACCCAGTTGGTGGTGCCCGCAATGGAGCCCGCAAATCCTTTGATATCGGTGGCAAAGAGCTCGCCCATCATCAGCCAGGGCACCGGGCCGTAGCCAATCGAGAACATAATCATGAATATGCACAAGCTGGCCACTGGCAGCCAGCCCAGATTCACCACACTTTCCTCATTCTGGTCCTTCAGATAGAAGTATACACCGATGGCGGTGGTCGAGAGCGCCATCACTATTCCCGAGGCGAGCAGCAGAATGCGACGTCCGAGCCGGTCCACCACCAGTGTGGACACAAAGGTCGCCACCACCTGCATCACACCAATCAGAATTGTTGACATGCTGGCGCCGATATCAGTTTTGGCGTCCTGACACAAAATCGAAAAACACAAATTATTATTAACAATTCCTGAACTGAACTTCTTTTTCGCTTCTCGCTGCGGCCACCTACCTCAAAAATGGTCTTCGAGTAGAAAATGACAGCGTTAATGCCGCTCAATTGTTGGAAGAACATGAGCCCCAAGCTGATGCTCAATGCCTTCATGGTGACGGGACGGGCCAAAGCTGCCAGGACATTCACCTTGTTCTGACGGATTTCGCGATCGGTTTCGTGCAGCTCCTCCAATTCGGGTGCATAGTCATATTCCTTGCCGCGCAGCCATTGAATCGATTTCACAGCTGCCTCTGAGCGATTCTTGGAAACCTGTTGAATGGAATTTACACACACATCTTAGATACTATTGCATCTATAATTTTATACATTTGCAACTTACCAAATATGTGGGCGATTCCGGCATGAAGAAGAATATAACGCCAAAGATAATTGGCAAGATTCCGCACACGACGCTCATCCAAAATACGTCAAGGCCGGCTCCGATGCCATACACAAACAGAATGCCGATGGTGATCATTAGCTGAAAGAAGCTGCCGAGTGTGCCACGGATATCCTTTTGGGCAATTTCGCCAGTGTACATGGGCGCGGTCACGCAGAAGGCACCGCCAGCGATACCCAGAATGAAGCGTGCCACAAACATCATGACCACATTCTGTGCCCAGATCAGCAATGCCCAGCCCAAGACAAAGGGCAACACGAGCAGCAGCATTGTCCATTTGCGTCCAATCATGTTGATGAGGAAGCCAATCGGTATGCACACACAGGCGGCGCCAAGGGTCATGAACGAGCTGACCCACGAATAGTTCTCATTGGTCACCTCAAATCCATAGAAATCTTCCTTCACGATGCTAGTCTCTGCCGGCGATGTCCAGCCAAGTAGTGTGCCGGCCGCAAAGGCGCCGCCAGCTGCTGCCAGGGCGGCAACATATTGGGGAAAGGTCTTCGACCTGTTCTCGGTGGACGTGTGCACCATTCTGCCAAGTAGATTCTCCTGATCCTGCGAACAAGACAAGATGCGTTTAGTCAAAAACCAAAAAAACCTTAACGCCACGACTAACTAACTAGAACTGTTAACCAAGCGTATTATCACATAATTCAAAGCCGTGATAATGCCCACCACCTGCGATTACGAACTTTATGGCACCACGATAGTGCGCCCAACTCTGAGACGAATGCCCAAAAACGTTCAAGTTCTATGCCGAGTATTACTTATTTACGACACTCGGAAATGGACCCATAAACAAACTACTTGGGGGCGGGATCCATATTGTTTAAAGCTCTCGCTTATCGAGGCGGACAAAACGATTGCTACAGGCGCTCAACTCTCGGACATTAATGGGAATTTCTAGCCTGGTTTACGGGTTCTACTATAATACCGATAACCACAAGTGTTGACTTCCTGCATCGGATATGGGGATGCATGTTCGTTGAGCTGCTCTCAACTCAATTCAATTATTTAATCAGGATGTGCGTCATTGATAAGTTTTATGGCCAAACCCAAAAACGTAGCGAGAAACAGGCATTGCAATGCCGAAGATTAGATATACGACAAACTACTTAATTAGTGCACTTTCGACCTTTTAATCCAACGCCAATAATCGCTAATATATGCGCATATGCATATACGCGATTAGGCCTAAGTAGTATATTATAGGCTTGGCCTATTAAACTCGTGATGGGATTATATAAGAAACTTTCATCTAAAATGCTTAAGGTATACAAAACGATTGCATTTTAAGTTGTCAACAAATTTCACAGAAAAACACATTTAATCTGGTTTACAACTTTTTGATGTGCTAATAAGAACGACTTTAATCTGGAATGTTTTAGATATTTGTGTGATAATACAGAGAACTTTAATCGGGAATGTTTTAGATATCACACATCAAAACTCAAAGTATAGAAAACTTCAATCTGAAATTTTTAAGAACTTTTGGACTTAATAGTATGAAAGACTTTAAACTGAAATGTTTTAGATATTTATGTGATAATACGGAAAACTTTAATCTATTTTCAGTATCATAAATATATTTAGTTTTTTTTTTTAAACTTTCAAAAAATGTAGTCCGTTTATTCTCACATTAATATCGACACTATTTAATGAGAAAAAATATGAATTGAACTCTTGCAACAATTGAATAAACCATAAAACTGCTTTTAGGCCCAAGAAACTAAGTAAATGGCAGTTCAATAATCTTTCGTTTAATATTGTTAACTTATTACATATGCTCACTGAGGCGGCGCCAATTAAAAATTGGCTGCCTTGGCCATGGCCACGCTACCTGGCAATAAACTAGTCAATGATGGGGTACATATGTACTAAACACCTCATTAGTTAAGGCTATCGCGTGTCTGATCAATATATCAAATACTTAGATAATCGCAAGCAATTGACGCTGAAATTGTCATAATTCTGGCAATTAATCAGCGATAATTCAACAACAGTTTATTGAACACATAAGTCGGGTCAGCTAATGAAATTGTGGCTAAAAGCTTATCAGGCAGCAAACAAAAATATTTAGTTAAGTAGATTTAGCTTAACAAGAGAATACTACCAATAATATTAGCATTAATACAAATTTGATCTAACATATTTTTTATACATTTTACACAGTCACAAAATGCATTCACATAGCCAAGTATCTTCACATATTCCTTGCTGGCTTTTCATTTTGCCATTCACTTTAGCTCAATTTAAATATAATTCTTAATTAAAATATTAAGTTAAGTAGATTTTGCTTAACAATATGGCTACCAAATAAAATAGAGACTGAATTTATAAAAATATCATCTAATACAGTTCTTATACATTTTTCTCAGTGTAAGTTCACGCCTCTCACATCTTACACAAACAGAAAATGCATTCAAAAGTATCTTTGCATATTCCTTTCTCTTGTGCTGGCTTTTCATTTTGCCATTTACTTTAACTCAATTTAAATAAAATTTTAAATTATAATATTTAGTTAAGTATATCTAGCTTAACAATAATAAATAGTACTATCAAATCAAATAGAGACGAAATACGAAGGCTTTTAATTAATATAAATAAATTTTTCTGAGTGTAAGTTCACGCGTTTCACATCTTACACAGACAGAAAATGCATTCAAAAGTATTTTTGCATATTCCTTTCTCTTGTGCTGGCTTTTCATTTTGCCATTTACTTTAACTCATTTTCCACCCACGCTGCAATCCCTGCTGCAATACCCGGCATGCTTGTATATCCAATCAAAGCCCACATCAGAGCAGCACAGAGCAGTATTCACTTCCGCATATGGCAAATGCTGGCCGAGAGTTGTTGCACTATCCAACCGGTATCCGGTGACCGAGAAGAGGCAGCGCCCACGCCTCCTGCTGCCAAGACACACCTCCAGGCTGGCAGTAAATGTCTGCACTGAAATCGATATTCGCTGTGCACTCGGTTGTTGTCTATGTGGCCGCTGCGACTGCTGGCCGAGTGCTTAGCTATATTTAGATTAACGTTGGCAGTTAACCTGGCCAATAACTTGTTGGGTGCCCACGCAACCCAACGCAGCCTGCCTCTTCAGTCGAGTGAGGATGTCAGTGCCATCGCTGGCCAAGTCCAAGTTCGTTTCAATGTCAATTCTGTTAGACGCCACGCATCTGCATATGTCAAATTTAAATGCGATTTCAATTCCCGTTTTCCATTAGCATAAGGAAAAACCTCGGAATGTTAAGCCACAAACTTGTTTCTGCCAAAGTCAGAAAGTAATGTAAATTCCCCCCCAGCTTCCGTTGTGCCCATACGCCATAATAAACATTAACTTTTATATATGTATATCCAGAGTTAATGATATATATGCCAGCTACCGTTTTTCGCCCTAGCTGCATATGCCCATTATAAACATTAAATTTTATATGCCAAGACAGGTTTATTATGGTATATAATAAAATAAAAATTCCTTCCTTATTTTCTGGATACTTTTTTTTTTTTATAAACCAGATTGCAAATGCGAGGTATTTAAATGAGTTATACGGGCTAATTTGTAAAACTCGAATAAAACGTATTATATATTCTGAAATGTCAATTAAAACCAGCCTCACGTCTGAAATGCATTGGTTGGGCATTCAAAATGTTTCGTTTTTTTGTTGAATTTGCATTTGAAATATTTGTAAATTTGTATACGAGCATTAAGATTCAAATATTATTGCCAATTTGGCTGCCTTTTTTGTATTTGATTTTTTTTTCTTCTGTTTTGTCGAATTATGACTGCGTTTTTCGTATCTTGTTTGTCTTATCAGTTAATTGGTTAAATAGGTGCAAAAGCATTTCAAAACTTTCTATTTTTTTTTTTTTTGGCCATGTTGGCCAAGGTCGTCCAAACAAAATTCACTAATTAACAAATGAATCTAGTTTCAAAAACGATTTAGCTAAAAGCCAAATGTGATAAGAGCTCTTATCGAATAGTTGAAGGGGGCGTACAAATCAAAGCATATGATTCACTTAAAACAAGTAAGAGGTTCCAGTCGGGAGCTCCCGACTAGGGGATACCCTGCACCCTCTTCTTCCAACATCAAATGCATATATATATTCTATTTTAGAAGCTATATGTCAAGTTTGCTGACTGTAGCTCTTATTATTTACCTAAATGGCCCCAAAAAAAAAAAGGATATCGATATCGATTTTTATCGATTGTTTGGAAACGGAATAAGTTATCGGCTATCGAAAACAAACTCGATCTGCGCGGCAACTAGGAGCACCTACATCTAAAATTTCAAGTCTATAGCATACATACGGACGGACGGACATGGCTAGATCGACTCGGCTATTGATGCTGATCAAGAATATATATACTTGCTTCCTTCTGCCTGTTACATACATTTGGATTTTGCACAAATACAATATACCCTTATAACCAATTTTAATGGGTTCAGGGTATAAAAAGTAATTAATAAAAAAGATAGTAATTTCGTAGAATGGAAAAACAAAAACGAAACAAAAATTTAGACTTGTTCCAGAGAATGCTTTAATTGAATTAACAATCACGTTGACAACTCGCTCGAATGATTTTATTAGCGCATCTACAATTGACTTATTTTTGGGCATAACAAATAATATGAGCATATACTAAATATTTAGTATATAGTTTAAATACAGTCTCGGCTAATTTCACAGTCTGTTTGGTTAACTAGTTGCGCAGACAACGGAATTAATTTCTCATTTCGGTTTTGGGTTTCTTACGAAATGCTCCAATTTTCGTTTAAGATACTTTGCTCTGTAAATATTAAAGATTGTTTGCTCTGGCAAAACAAAGGAAGCAAGTTTCGCTTCGCACTCCGATAATAAAATACAAATTTTTTTTTTGTTTCCTTCGTCAAGGTCAAACATAGCCGACTCGTAGATGCGTAGATACATAGATACATGCACAGCCAAGCGACAGCTAGCTAGCTAGTTAAAGTAACTTAAATGATGGGTTTTAGTGCCAGCACCGATTAGAAAATAAGTTTGAAATTTGAATTTGTTTGCCTACTTGGGGACTGGCATTGGCACTGTCATTGCCATTGGCATGGACTTTGATGATTTTTACCGCTTGCCGGGAACCATATTTGGCACCGTTCTCGTTGGCCTCCAGCAGGTGGGAGCTCTCCTCGTTGCTGGCATCGGGCTTCTTGTTGGGCTCATCGCCGCTTGAATTGCTGGAGGATGCCGATGACATGTTGCTGTTGTTTGTGTAGCCACTAATTGTTTAAACAAATGCTAATCTCGTTTTCGTTGTGATGTGTATTATGTCACTTGTGGATATGTTTTGTATTCAGCGCGTAATTTGATTTTGATTTTTTTTTTTGTTTTTGGCTTGTTTTATAGTTTTTTTTCTCGATTAGTTGTGTGTATTTCTCATTGCCAATTTGTTGAATAATACGAGCGCGTTTCAATGTCCCGTGTCCTTTGGCTGTGCCCGACAGTTTGTCCTTTAACACGTCGCCCACCCACGTAGCGCGTAGTTAGAATACTTTTAGGCGCATGCGCAGTGCTGTGCAAACATGTTGCTGTCCAAAAACTGCACTTGGTTAAACAAGATGAACATCCCAGCTATAAGCGAGCTGCTGTTTTCAATATCAATACACACTGGCCGTAAAAGTATCTGTATCTCTTAACCGCACGCAGCGACTGTTGGATGTCAAATGACGCGCCAAATTATAAAACCAGCCACGCCGGGCTTTGTACTGGATATGGGCACACTCTCTCGCTCTCTCACTCTCTGACTCTCAGCCGCAGTCACAGACTTCCACACTCTCTTCCTCTGTCGGTCGGCGAACACGCTCTCACAGCGTCAATGCCGTCCGCCAATGGGGTGGCCACTGACGCTGTCGAGGCTATTGACTTGCAGCGGCAACAGAAACTGGAAATCGTAAGCGTCTTTGATTTGTTTCCTTTGCGCATTTTGTTCTACTTGAGATTGCATTCAGCTTTCTGCAGCAGCAGCAGCAGCAGCAACAACAACAACAACTGAGAAGTGCATTTCGAGGTCTGCGCAATCAACTTTTGTGGCACGACTCCGTTACAAGTCAGACGATCCTCAGTTTTGAGTGTGACCTTAATTGGGTTACAAACTTAATGCATACTATATATGCTGCATATACCACATATTTACATGCACGTATTTAAATACTGCATCCTTTATGGAAATGTGGGCAAGAATCAAGGCAATTTAAGGTGTCAAGTCAACAATTGATCCCTTACATAAATCAATTACAGCAGTTATATCTAGAAACTTGCTTCACTTAAAATAATACAATATACTCCAGCACCATTCTTATAAAAAATCTACTTATTAAATCTATATACAAGTACAACATATGTATATAATTAGAGTATATTAACGTAACGCATAAACTCTCTTAACGCTTTTTGTGCTGAGTATATAAATAGCACAAAGAGAATTGTGAGGTTAACAAACTATTTAATTTGGCGTACATATAAATCTTTTTGTTATACTACAATATTGCCAATACAATTATCCAATTATTTATTTTAGTCCCATTCGAGATATATTTACTTAAGCAATTAACAAATTCAGGCCAATCTGTTTGCATATTTTGGTAAATACGCAATTGTCGCGCAACAAAGAAGAACATTTAAATTTCCCATCGTCCATATTGTAGACTTGTAGACTTGTATATGTGTCTGTGTGTATGTGTGTAGCCAGTGTAAATAAACTCGCCGCATGCATTTCCATATACGCACACACACACATCTCCAGGTGCCTATTTACATTGTTTACATACGATACGAAAATGCATACGAGAATTTTCTTATATAGTATGTACGCTTCGATAAAGGCATTCATTCTTGTCCGGTTTCAGTCTTCAAGCATTGCTGCTCTTTACGCACCGGCGCATTCGTTCAATGGATCACGTTTGTCGCATCTGATATATGAGAAAACCCAGAAATGAATCCCCAATGAATATGCGGTAATGAATCAATGAGTGCATCCAAATTTGTGTGAGTTCAGGTGAATGTTTGTGTACATTCGAATATAAATGTACACAACTAAATGGAATCTCTACAGCTTGGGCTGCCGAACTATCAACTATTCTTTAAGAAAATTAATATTATATTTTCCAATTCAAGTAAAACAAATATTTGTTCTCTGAGATCTATCTTAAAAATGTAGCATTGCATATGATCATTAATTCGAAGTCCATTTAACATATGTCAGCATACCCTATTTCTCATGCATTCGAGGGTATAAAAACAAATGAATAAACATGATACTGCTGGAACCGCGTGCTGCCGAGTATATCGAGTTAGGCAACGAGCTAATTATGTACGCAAGTCACATAAATAGAATAAGACAACAGCTAAATAATAGAGGCTAAAATTTATACTTAAATAATTCGAATGGTAAAGGAGTTGCGGTGAATGATGACGAAATTGATTTACCCTAGGCTATAAGCTACATAAAAAGTGACTACCCCATGTATCTCGCACCAACACCTGGACAAACATAGTATCTGAGTTGCGTGTCAAGCTGGCACCGAAATACAACCAAACATTTGGCACGCTTCGAGCTGGGGCCAGGCGCACAGAGCGCCTAAAAGCATGCTCACACCTGCAGGCATATTTGGCTTTTATATATATTGTTGCATAGTCTGTATGTATCTGTAGCTGTAGCTGTAGCTGTTGGTATACACATAAGCCATGGCCAGGGCACGCAATGCCATGCTGTGTATGTATACTAATTACGGAGCTCAGACGAGCCAGCGCAGGGCATGGGCGAAACTCTAGACCACCCGAATGGCCTCCACCTCAAATGTTACGTAAAATGCTCATTAGGCAAACGAAAAGTGTCTCAGTTATTGCGGTGCAAGCGATGTTGGCTGTGACTACGTCAACGCCAGCGACGTCATGCAACTGTATCGCACAGATATATTTACATAGCTGTACATATTTGAGTAAGTTGTGCGCGTGTGACGTCACGAGAGCCAAGCCCCAAAAGCACTTGGCCAATCGGCAAGCGCGAGCGTGCCCCTCATCACACACACACACACACGTACAAACGCACACACGCACACACGCACACAATAAGATATGCATACATATATATGAATATGCATGTATTTCGGCATTTGAGCTAAAATTTCAGTGCCGCTTTTTTAGTTGCTGTTGGCCCACGCAAATCACGCGATTTCAGTCAGTTCAAGTGCAGCTACATATACATATGTATGCTTTTCGCTGAACTAACACAATTTCTTTCTCTTTTACTGTGACCTACAATTGAACTTGTAACGAAACACGCGTCACAATTTCGATAAATTTACGTTTGTTTCGTCTTTAAAGCCACAAAATCAATAGGCCTCCCCCTCAGTCTGGCCCAAGGTGAACGTATCTATGCTTCCGCTCGTGCATTGGCTGTATTAGTCCTTGAAATAATTTCACAATTCGCAGAAGTAGACATGTATTTGTCTGCCAAAATTATTGGAAAAATCGAAATGACCTCATTGTTAGGCAGAATTAGGTAACAAAAAAATTGTCATGTTTTTGGCATGGAATTATCTCCTTATCATGGCACATTCATGTGTATTTATATTTCTAATACATATACAAATATTCGTATATACATGTATCCGGATATCTCACACAAATAATAAAAGTTACCGTTTAAATGTTTGCTTTTGCTTTTGTAACGGTCTGATTCAAAGTCGCGCGCTGAACAAAAGCTCCAATCGAAAGCTTTCAAGCAGTTTGAGAGCACAACTCGACAGCAGTGAATGCAGTGCTGCTCAAACTGTGGAGCAATAACAGTGCATGCCGAACTGTAACTGTTTGGTTTTTGACAGGCTGAGCACATTTTTTTCAACATATTCTTTGAGCTATTCAACAGGTGCAAAGACCCTAAATACAGATGTTGTCTTCTGCTCATCTGAGCAACTTTTTAGTTGAGTTACATATTTATTATTTTCATTTTATTTAGTCTAAAGTATCTTGAAGAAATCTTAAATCAATATGTCCCAAAACTGTTCGTTTCTGTTGATCTTTCTCGTTGTCAAATACTTTACGAACCTGGAAATGACAACAACAAGGGCAAGGCAATAAAACGCTTTCTAATCTTGGCTGTGCTTATCAGCGTAACTGAAACATGCGACTATCAATACTCCAAAACTGGGCTCAATATATGCATACATAGGCATACATATGTATATACTAGTGAGCCATACATACTGCACTAATCTATGATGACTTATCGCACAGTTGCCGCGCCTTATCGTATTATGTCATTTGGTGTTATATTCGCCGCTAAATCGCTTTATGACCCAAGCGATATCAGTTCTTCAGATATGCAGCGCTTGTTTTCGGCTATTATTTATGTATGCACCAGAAATTGTTTATTGAGTGCAGTGTTGACATTTTTTGATTGACAGCTCGTATAGTCCAAAGCGTTCCATCGTTGACCCAAACCCCACAATAGTACACGCCCACATATAATTGAGCTAAGCGCGTGCGTTAACAAGCAATTTCCTTATTAAATTCACAAAAAAATAAAAAAAAATAAACATAAAAGAATTAAATACAATATATATGTATATGAATAACGCGCCATAACTAAAAGCTTACAATAGAGAAGCATTTACCTAGCTGAGCATTTATTAGGGCCAATTGAGCGCACTTTTGTTTTATACAACCTAATCTTTACGATACTCGCGCTGAGATATAATATATGACAGGAGACATTCTGTTATACTAGATACCACAGTCAGGGTCTATCACCCAGAAATACAAGGTGAGTGTGTCAAGAAGTTCAGCTATAAATGGAAAAACTCTTAAAAGAGACTCTTGAATTTCTGATAGTAATCTGAACAACAAGAGACATTCTGCCATACTAGATACCACAGGTCTATCTCCTAAAAATACCCGCCGAGGGTTACAAGAGTTCAGGTTTCCTCAATATGAAAATCCAGGAAAAACTCTTGAATTCCTGATAGTAATCTGAACAACAAGAGACATTCTGCCCTACTAGATACCACAGGTCTATCACCTAGAAATACCCGCCTAGGGTTACAAGAAAATTCAGGTATCGAGAAAAGTTTCTTAAATGGGATAATCTAGGAATAACTCTTGAATTCCTGAAAGTTAATCTGATTATGTATAGTCTACAGTGCGACTGACTCTCGACTTTATTTAAATTAGTATGTTTTTCTTTCTAGCTATTTAGCATAATTATATTAATCATAACTATCGATTAGCTGATTATTAGTAATATCAGGGTTTTATAAATAAATGATCTTGTGGTTTCTCGTACAGAGGTTAGCATAATCTTGAAATTATTCATTACCATTTCTTTGCGTCAGTCAACCATGAGCTCATGCTAAGCATTTTGTAAGAACCGATTGCAAGGTGTTCAAATTCAAAGACTTTATATCTGTGTGATTGCAACAATTATAAAACACAATTTCTTGCCTATTCGCCTGTTTAACTAATCTCTATTACATTTCAATTCCACTTTGTATATACTTATGTATTGATGTCGTCCATTTGACGCAAGCAACTGGCGGATTGTGGTGGAGATAGCTCCTGTGATTGTACTGAGTCGCAAGTGGCGTTCGCATGTGCACAGGTCAAGAGGTGAGTGGGG